TTCACGCTAGCGTCCTTCCAGGGTTTCTAGCTGCGTGCCCCCTTGTGTAACTAGCTTGCAGGCGAACTTGCGGATCGCGCGCTCGTAGCTGAGGACCAAGGTCCATGGTGGTATCGTAGCTCTCGCAGGCCATAGCAGTAGTCGCGCTGGAGTTGCAGAGACCGAGCCTTGGCTGCAGGGGCGTTAACTTCCAGAATTTGACCGTTGACGATATCCTTCTAAACCATTTACCTGAGTAATAGCTTGTAGAACACGTTGAGGTGGATTCTTGGTGTAGGTGCTGAGGATCCCGTAGAGACGCTTTGAGAATGCTTTTCCTTCTGCTGAACAATTGGTCATAGACGGCTTTCTCGTTAGGAAGAAAGGCTGCAGGCACCAACGTCTCCTGCTGAAACTGTTGATAGCCACAAGATGAAGATGTGACGCTTTACTTGCGCAGCTTTTCTGGAGAGTCTCCGGCTAGAAAAAAGCTGAAGCAAGTCCACTCCGACACAAATTCTGGTCGTCGTGCACATCAAACCAAGCGTGGCAGGTTGCAGCAGGGTACCTGCAAAGTCTCAGACCAGTGCTGGCGCGATGGCTGGTGTAGGAGGCATTGTCCAGACGGAAACCTTTGGATTTGGCTGCCGCTTGCAATTGTTGCGCAATCATGCAGTTGGGGGTCCAGAAAGCCTTCACCTTTGTGCCTGGTTGTGTTCCGAGTGGACCTTGGGTCCCTTGATCGGCAAGCCTTGCGAGGCGATGAAGCCCATGGCCATGGTAGCAATGGTCATTGGTCGAGAGCAGCTTGAGCCTGATTCCGTTCAATCTTTTTGTGGGCCGAGAACACTTGTCCTGTTGTCTACACATTTGAACTCTTTTTAGATTCGTTGCTTCGGGGTCCTGGCTGGTGACCCAGAATGCCAAGTGAAAAACAGATGGGTACGCGGATTGTCACGCGACGCAAGCCTTGGGATCAGCCTGGGAATGAGATTCCTGGAAGAGTGGCGGTTGAGCTACCGGACTTTACCAAAGATCTTTGTGCCCCCAAAACTAGATCCTCCTTCCAGTGGTTTGCAGCTGACGAGGTCCCACGCAAATCTCGGGACAGCCATGGTGGCAACGGCCGTGGTTGGCTTAGTTGGGGTTCCGTACGTCTGGATTTCCGACCTCGCGCACGCTGAGCTGCAGAACTCTCAGTCCCTGCGCTGCAAGCATGTGTGTCGAGCCCGCTGGCTTTTGCGACCAACGTTGGCGCGGAGCTCCACGGCACGCTGCGGCCACAAACAAGTGTTCGCATGCCACGGGGTAAGACAATGCGCCATACCTCGGATGAGTTTGATGCCTTGCCACACAGACATGCCCCAGGCGAGGACGAGGTTTTGATGTAGCATGTCATGGTACAACAGAGTTGCAGCACTCTGCACCTGCACTGTCAACCCAGTCTCACTTTGCACCTTGCATGTTTTCTACCCGGGCCAGTCACCATCTCTGTCAAACCTCGTTTTGTTTTTCAAGCCCTCACAGGGCAAGCAGCCCCACACGACTACATAGGGATGCGATTTCTGGGGTGGGTGGTGAAAGGGGCGCCTCAAGCAGGTAATGATGGAACCCCAGGCCTGTTGGCCACTGTATCACTAGAACGAGTGCAAGAACCCTCTACCTCGAAATGCTACAAGACACATCGCAAAACCACCACTTCATCCCACGCGGCCAATGCGGCCTGCACTCAGCCGGTAACCGCAGGAACGCCCACATCGGCCCACATCCCCACGCAAGCCCATGCGAGAGACACGCAGCCGTGCCTGCAGGAAATTTCATGCTTCTCAGACGAACAGCCTGCATCATAGCACATATCTTGAAGACTGAAGACCGGCAGGCCCAGCTGTCAGCATGCCTTCTCCAGCAACATGAGATAAGAATGAACAGCTCAGCCTCGCGCAGTGGTGCGAGCTTGACGACGAGCTGGCCAACGTTGCTCTCTCCCCAGCATGTGATGGGTTTGCTTCCTATAGGTGGGCCCAGGTGGGCTCTGCGGACTGCACCAGCCTCTTGAATCTTTCAACAAGATCCAGTCGCTGCTGGCAAGGTCTCAGGGTCTCAAGACCGCCACAGCCAGGTTGCAAACTAGCCGGACGTCTTCGCCTGCACATTTGATGCGCCTAGCGCTGTTCTGCAAACATGGGCCAGGCTAACAACACTGGACGGCCCTACAATCAATCAACATCATGATGCTGACCACATGGTTGATCGGGTGAGCTGAACACCTCCAGCGTTTGCGCTCCAGCTGGACGGGCGGCGGCTGGGCGTATGACCTTGACATCTTGGTGGACACCGCGCATCTCCGCCTTGTGGGCCATAGCCCAGAACTCCTGAACGGCATTCTGAGTGTGAAAAAACTGCATATCGAGGGCTTGAAGGTCCTTGAGTCTGTATTTTGCCATGATGCTGTGGTAAGTTTTGCCTAGGACGCGCTGGGGTCATTGTTTTCTACCGCCTTTGGCTTGTGAAACTGTCTAGCTTGAAATTGGCCCAGCATGGCTGAAATGCTTTTGCCCGACTGGCACCTGTTGGCACCATTCATCCTCCTGAAGACTGCACGTAGCTCCTGAAAGTCCAATGAAGAAGGGCAGCGGACCTCACAGAGGCAAGCAGCCCCACACGACTACATAGGGATGCGATATCTGGGTGGGGCTGGGGGTGGGTGGGCGAATGGTGCACCTCAAGCAGGTAATGATGGAACCTCAGGCCTGTTGGCCATAGAGTTTCCAGGCTGGCTTGAATGAGGGCACGCACATTCATCCCGCATAGCTCGTCTTGGCCGATGATCTTGATGTGACGGTTCGTTGTTGTGCATTGTTGTGCAAATCAGCTGCATACTTGGCTGTTCCCGACAGTGGCAGCCATTAAGTACTCAAGTTTGCCCGTTGTGAATTGTGCCCCAAGTTGTGCCATGACAGGCGCCTGGCTGAATCTATTGGCAAGTGCATGCTTCTGGAGGGGGGACCGTAGTGGAGGGGGGACTGGCGACAAAGGCTGCAAGCGGGAGTGCGAACATGGGACTCTTCCATTGCATTCTCCCCCGCTGGCTGGGGTCGGACATTTCCATATTGTCATAAAGCACGCATCACAGCAAGTATTGCAATTGGCATGATATTTAGCGTCGCACCGGAATCCTGAGGCGTTAACCTGGATGCGCTGGTGAACGCCTTGGATTCGTTCAATGATGTTTTCAAGGAGGACTGTGCATATTGAGCTTCTTAATCGTTTCCTCCTCTACCACGTCAAATGCTTGGAGTACTTTTGGATCAACCACAGATAACCAAGTCCTCAATCTACGCCTGAAATCAAGTCAATTTTGCCTTTCTTCCTGCCAGGAACTTGGTGCGAAAATATCTGAGGCCTTAATGAGCTTGTGGAAATCAATCTCTCCTGGCTCTCTGGCTTTCTTCTCCTGTGCTTCAACAATTCTTTGAACTTCCTGTGTAAACAGGGTGTGTGATCTAACAATGCCTTCACCTGTTGATTTATGTGTTTCTGTAATGATTTCAGTCATCTTCTGCTCTCTTTCTGCTGAAGCTCATGTACAGGTTCATGAAGTCGATGTAGTTCTCCTCTGGGTTCTCAAAGATATTGGGCTCTCTAAGATTCCTGCGCACAGAGAATAGCGAAAACAGTTCTGCGTGGTCTTGTTCTTCTTCTTGATCGTTTCCTTGTTTTCTATATTGCTCGAGCACATTGTTTCCTTCACCACGTTCTTGTCCTTCACTACGAGAGCTATGTCATCTTCAGGGATCATCTTCCTGAAGGCTTTTCCTTCCGCGTAGGGAAAACCGATTCCTGAAAGGCGCAAGCCGTACAAGCTGAACACCACGCTAGTCCAAATTCCTGCAGCAAATTCAGTAATGTGCAGAGGAAACATCGCGGCTTCCTCTTGCACACAGATTCAAGTGTGTATGCTTCTGGCAAGCAAACTCTGTAAGCAGTAAATTTCCTGACTTCACCACAGGATGAACAGCCCGGTCCGTGACATGCTCAAAGGTAGCCTTGTGGTAGGCTTTTCCTGAACGCACGGCTATGCTCAATTCCGGCATGTAGTGTGTGCTCCTGGTCTTGATCTGAAATAGTTCCTGAGATTTCAGGTGGCGCCAGCAAATTATCAGTACGGCCATTCCTGTAAACCATATGGCCACACCTGCTATTGCCGTGGCTTGTGGCAGCATCATCGCTCCCCAATGTTCTTGTGTGAGCTCCGCTACCATGACAAAAATAGGTTCCTATGCAGTTCCAGAGAAGGCACTTTGTTTTCCTTCTGCAGCTCAATGCTGGGTGCCTATATCCTGAGCCTATATGTTGCAGTTGTACTGCTTCCTGTGCAAGGCTCAACACTGCTGTTCCTAACTCCTGCAAGGCACTGATGTTTAACATGGAATTAAAATACTGGTGATTTCAGAAATATTAATGCTGATAACAATGATAAGAATAATGTGCTGAGGCATATATGCCAAGCACGGCTGAGCAGTCTGCTTGGGCTGAATCCTCCACATATAATGAAGGCTGAAATTAATGAAAAAACGAACTCTCACAGCGACCCGGGCTCAAACTGAAAGCGTGGCAAGTGGCAGGTGTCAAAACATCTCCATGTGGTAAGGTCACCGTGGCAGCGCGTGCACGGCCACAAGTCGCTTCCAAGTTAAAGACGAGAGGCGATTTTCCTTGGAACATGCCAACCCCTGTATGAAACCCAGAAGATGGAGAAGGAACATAGCCAGCCACTGAAGTCGAAAGGCCAGATTGGCTGGCCGCCTCCTCCTCTTCAAGCTTTCGCTTGGACATGGCATCCTAGAAAAAAATGCCTCCAAAAGGGGTATCATGGCCTCATGCTGGTACTGCTGACAAGAATGTTAGGTGCACAATGTCTGTCTGCTGACAGGCGTGATTCTTCTTGAGCATAGCACGAACTTAAGCATTCAGAATCGACACAACTTCATGAGCAATGCGCTAAAAGGCGAAGCGGGCGCCTCCCGAACCATGTCCCGCAGCCAGACCTGCTGCGCAGGCTCTGTTGGCACAGATCTGCCGAAAGAAGTTGTGTCTTCACAACAGCGGACTCTGACAAAGGGCAAGTACTACCAGGAGCGAACCCAACTACTGGTCAAAACAGTGTTGGGAGAAGAGATGGCTGTTGCGACGGTCGCATAACTGGACTCGCATGGTTGCCAGAAAGCATAGGAGTTCCAGGACAATTGCAAGAATTGCGGCCAACACAGCTGGTCATGATTGCTTGAGGACTTTGCTCTTGTGTCACTTGCTCTCTTTATCAGTCTTTCTCGTTCGTTCTTGGGTCAGATCGAGAGATACGCTGAGTAGCTGCGGTTGAAGGAGTTGCAAAAGTCCTCAGGAATGAAAAGCGTTCAAAGGTCAAAGAAGAACCAGGTTACGAAGCTGCCATCGATGACTTTCATGAAGCTATGAAATAGGAATGCTTTGCGGGTTGCCTGCAAGTGTCGACGAATGTCTATGTACCAAAGTTGTTTACGACTCGCGGCATGCGACAGCCAACAAGGGAAGTGACCTGGCAGGTTAGGTGCTCAAAAACTTGAATGGCTGAGCACTTACGACTTGTCCAAGTGGTCCTTGGAGCTCGAGTTCTAGCAACTCTGCCTGACATCTGAATATTCATCCAACAAACACACGACATGAAATCAGGAGGCTTTGCAAGTTGCAACTCAAATCCTAACCGCTGGAAGTCAACTTCCAGCAGCACACTCGTTCGACAATAGTCCTCATCCTATGAGCTCTTCCCAGATAGCCGTCTCTTCGTTTTGCGCTTCTGGCATTGCTCCAATAGCAGATGTGGCTAAGTCAATCTCCGGGTAGCCATCTTGCTTGTTTCTCTATCATCCTCTTCTAGTCTGTTTCTTGCAGCGCAGACATTCACAAACCATTACAACTGGTCAAAGCAAAGATCATCTGCAACGCGCTACGCATGGCATGACATGAACGCCACAGCAACAGCGCCTTGTTGTCTCCAACTGGCACCTGGCAACGCGCACAATGGCAGTTTGATGGTCTCCAGCTGCAGATGACAGGCTTTCCGGCTGGCTATCTTTCAAAAGCACAGAGTATGAAGTAACAACATGGCATCACGCAGAAGGATGATACAATGATACTGCTGATGTGCATGTTGGGGTCCCGTGGAATCATGTGTTCAACTCCGACAACTTCCTGGTGACTCAGATGAAACAGAAAGAGCTAAGGGCTGTGGCAGCCAACTACACCTCCATCACCCAAAATCCACCCGCTCACGTTGTGCGAACAACTGGGCGTGGCGACAGCCATCCCATAGTCATGGAGTCAGCACCTTCTTGACAGCATAGTCACCCAGCATCATGTCGTCCAGAACATGTCGGCAAAGGTAGACGGCTCCGAAACTGCCAGAATGACAGCGAGGAGAGCCAAAGCATCCAGTCCAAGCCTCAAGCACTTGTCCCGCCTTCCGGAGCCAAGAAGCTTGGTCTCCTGAAAGAACCGCGCATAATACCTCACGTACAGAATAAACCAGAAGAAACAGCTTCAGCTAAGGTCTGATTCTGGGGCTACGGCCCAGTGTTAAGCAACCCTGCAGGAAGATGTCGCAGAGCTGCCTGGAGGCCACAGGGCCTTTCTGTTCTTGATCGAACACAATGTGAAGAAGCTGAAAAGTACTCCAAGCATCCAAGCCACAGCCGCTGCTTGCTCCGCTTCGACCCCACCCTCGGATGCGAAGATCGGGACCTGCTCTGTCTGCTCTCTTTGCTCCGCTCTGGCTGCCTTTTGCTTTTGCGCTTGCATGGCCTCTGCTGGGTTGGCCGTGTGAGCAAGCAGAAAAGGATTGGCATCGTAGTCCCCATCCTGTACCAGACATGTTGGTTCAGGTTGTCCCAGCTTCCACGCCGCCGCTCTGAGCTGCGCGCTCCGATGGCGATTGCGTCACCCTGGAAGCTTCCGCAGAGTCGACAAGATACCTCCTTTTTCTGAGCACCGGCCTGTTCGTCATCTGAAACACCAAGCCGGTCAAGTGGGCCAACAGCACGAGCTGAGTCATCCTCGGCGACTTGCCGTGCTACCTACCATGGCATCTTCCTCATCACTTATCACCCACAGGAATTCATGCAAAGATTTGCTACTCCCGTTAATGGACTAACATCCCATAATCAAGCCCATTTTTTCCAGATCCTTGCCAAGCCTTCCTTCAGTAATTTCTTTCGGCGAAGTATTGGGGCTGAGATTTGCAGCTTTCCCGGCTACTGTTTCTTTGGAGGCAGTCCCAATGTCACAATGCGAAAGTGGAATGCTACGAGAATCTGGTTGGTCCACCTGTTGTTGGTCATCACCTCGGTCGTCTGTTCGGTCTTCCCGCTTGTGGAACTTCAGCCTCGCATTGCACTTTGATGGAAACCTCTAAAGCATGCAGAACTGAACTCCCGCGACACCCTGCAGCGTTCACCATCTCCATGAAGGTTTCCACGTCGAAGCCCTGCCATGCACTCTCTCAGAACGTGTCCCCTTCAATTTCATCGGTAATGCTCATGGCCTCCAAGTCCATGTCTCCAGAATTGTCGTACTTTGCGCGCTTGTTCTCATCTGAAAGGACCGTGAAAGCCTGTCTAAGCAGGTGCATGTAGGCTGGCTGCGTGAAACCCCGGAGGGAGCCTCAGCAACCTTCTGAAACTTCAACTTTGCATCCGGGTCGTCCGGATTCTTGTCTGGGTGAAACCTCACGAATCGTGGACATGAAGTGGAAATGGTCAGACTGAGTACCTCGTGCCTCAGCGACCGCTTACGGTAGGCTCGCTTGATGTCATCTGCTTTTGCGCTGCGGGGGATTCCCAAAATCCTGTCTCATAATAAATGTGGTTAGTAATTCCGACGCAACGGGGCTCCTGTACAGATCGCTCTCTGCAAGAAGGTCAATATCTTCACCTTCTGGATCCCGGCCACCACTTCGGAAGAGTCCTGGAGATGACCCGAGACGCACCTATGACAGCTCAGCTCAGCAGTTAGCGGCTCAGCATCGCTCTGGCAGCATTAGCACACCAAACCACTCCTTGCAAGAGATCGAAGTATGCCTGTGCCGCAAACCTGGCCAGAAACGATGATCACAGGTAACATGCAACATCGTCCAAATAGCCAGGCTACGCAAAGCGAGCATCAACGGTCTGCCTGCCTCAGGGAAACTTTACACATCCACTGCTTGGCCACCCCCAAGTCAGATTGCTCTGCTCAGCAGCATACACAGTGGACATCTCCCGGAAGGGTTTGACAACTCTGTTCCGGGGGCGGCCTGCACAAGCCAAGTCAGAACCAGCTTCTGTTTTTGTTGCACTTCCATCATGAACATTCCATTCAGTCCGACGCTTCGTCCACAGAAAGTCTTCGCGAGCGGAATGCTGGTTTCTCACCGGGGTTGAACAGAACCACCTAGAAGATTCTGATGTTGATGCTTATATAAGCCTAGACAAACAGTCATACGGTCTTCTCAAACTCAGGTGCAAGCATTTCGATCGTGGTAGAGCACCTGGGATTTATCAGCTTCCACCCAAGGAGAATTTCATCGCGGACATTGAATGGCAGCAGCCGCGTTGGAAACTGCCTCCTGCGAGCCGAGGCTGTAGCCATGCGCCAGTCAGATGAGCTGGCTTGCGCTTCGCCACTATCTCCTTTATAACATGTGAAAATAAAGGCAACACTTGCTTCTTCACATCAACAGTCCTTCAACCTCCTTTTGAGGAACATCTGCCAAAGCTGGCAAACGGGCCGCGACACCTGGCAACGAGCCGCACCACCAGCAGCTTGAGCTTGACAAACCCCTTCTGAGTCCCAACGAGGGCGCTTGGAAGACGGTATCAAACCTGGTTTAGAATGTCTAGACTCGAATGTCTAGACGCAACATGTTCAAAGGCCTGTCCGGCTACTACAACATGCAACGCGACATGTACGAGTTCACCTGAAACTTGTTGCTGTAAGACTGGGTCCTTCACTTGGCGAGTCTTGCCTACGACTATCAAACGGCGCGCAGTGCAAGGAGTCCATCCTGCATGCTGCAAGCAAGCGCGCACTTCAGTTTGCACAGTCTGGACAATCAACTTTGCCGCACCGAATTTGACCATGGACAATGCGTTTTTGTGCAAGCTTTGAACAACTGAAACACAAGGAACTCCAACAGTATGTAATGTGGAACAAATTTGAGCGGGATGCACATGTGCACGATGTCTTTGGTGTTCTTGGCGACCCAAACGAACGAGAAACAAGCTTGCCAATGGTCCTATCCGCCAAGAATTCTCCGGGGCGCTTTCCATTCTTGGTCTCCTACACATTCGCCAGGAAACACATTTCAAGTCTTGTCAAATCTAGACTTTAGAATGTTGCACATAATGGAAATATTCGCAACGCAGCCTCATCGCCACATCTCTTGGCTTCGGACATAAAACTTTACGCCATGTGTGGAAACGGCTGCCCAAATTCCTTATTTGAGTGTGGAGCTATGTTGTAAATACATAAAGTCAAGTAGCGATGTTTCAAATGGATGTTGCTTTTACCATGATGATGCGAGGTATGCTTGCGAGAAACATGAAGGGTTGGCCAAGGTGTTATATGAAAACTTGCCATCTTTTCGCAACATTCGAACCGAAGGGCAACGAACGGCAATGAAGGGCGACAATTGCAAGGACCAAATGCAATGGTACACATATCCCAATCTTGCCGGGCAAGCCAAAACTTGAAAAACAGCCGCCGTCATTCAAGTTTGAATGTCGAGCTGCCCTTCCGCCTGGAAATGCATGTCCTTCGTAGTTTGTCTTGTTTGTCTTTATGGCGGGTTTATTTCAGACTCAATCAGCGAGAACTATGTACACTAAAATCTGTGCCATCGAAATTTCACGAAAGGCTTATCTTGATTCGCAAAGTATATACCTCGAAGGGCTCAATCAAAGTATATAAAGAGGAAAACTTTTCATCCATATATATATATATTCAATGTACTCACACTTGCAAGGACCGCACTCCCTTCTTTTTTGATGGACGGGGGCAAGCTCACCGGGTAGGACTACGGGACTGTGTGAGCAACCCCAGCTCTCGTAGGAGGCAATCGCAGCCTCTGTCCACAATCCCCCGGTCGAACACAGCCCGAATTGGACAGAATTGATGGGTTGGGTGGGTGGGTCAAAAATTTTTCTCTGGTGGCAACTCCAGCCACAGCTTGAACCCACATCATGTCCAGAACAAAAGCATGATGATCAAACTTGCAATCAACAAGGATCATGTAGCATGCTGGAAAATTTGAAAGCAACTTCCATCCACAATCATAAAGCAAAGTCAGCTTCAATTTTTGGAAAAGGAAATCGCAATAAAAATTCGCTACATCAAGTCTCCGCCAAACCAGAACAAACAGGGACTACGCCCGCTCCGTGGAACGTTTGTCTGGTTTGTTTTTATGGCGGGTTTATTTCAGACTCAATCAGCGAGAACTATGTACACTAAAATCTGTGCCATCGAAATTTCACGAAAGGCTTATCTTGATTCGCAAAGTATATACCTCGAAGGGCTCAATCAAAGTATATAAAGAGGAAAAATGTTCATCCATATAAATATTCAATGTACTCACACTTGCAAGGACCGCACTCCCTTCATTTTTGATGGACGGGGGCAAGCTCACCGGTTAGGACTACGGGACTGTATGAGCGACCCCAGCTCTCGTAGGAGGCAATCGCAGCCTCTGTCCACAATCCCCCGTAAGCCGAGGCCCCTGCCCCTACGTTGGAGTGAGGTCCTCCCACAAGTCCGTTTCAGAACGCACTGCCTCAGCTATTGCGGTTCCAAGCGCGGGAGCATAAGCACGCGACGTCAGAAATCTTTGCATTTCTGCCGTGATGGCCACATCATGCCCTTGTCCTCACAAGCAAAGCGTTGGCAAGCATCAGCAACAGCGTCCAGTGAAACAAAAATCGGATGGGTTTGCAGAGCTGGCAACCCTTTCATACCAAATGGCGGTTTCGTTCGCAGCCTCCAAGATGGAAACAAGAGTTACCAAACCCATAGTGCGGGGGAAGGACTAAACCGCCTAATGAAAGCAAACCTACAGGGGTCATTGTCAACGAATGCGAGGACAGAGGGCCCCCGGAGGGCAAACAACATGATTGCCACAGCGTACGCCTCAACCTGGCATATCAGCTGCTCCCCAGTAATGTCCCCCCAGTGCTTCAAGAGTGGTCCAGGAACTCGGCCACTGAAAGCCCAACGACATTGACGCGCTCGGTCTATCACAATGGCTCCCCACGTGCATTCACTTCCCTCATACGCCCCATTTGTGTAGAGGAGTATAGGGGGCTGCAGTGATGATTGGCAGATACGAGGCCGGGCCAATGCAATGGAAGTCAAAGCAACCTCACATGAGGATTTAAGATCGGCATGGGTGCCCGGGTTGGCACGCGACAACGCTAATGCAAGCATACGGGCAGTGGACTTGAGCTGACATCCGAGGGTGTACCCGCCACCAAAGTTCACAAGCCCGTGAAGCGAAGCCAGCTGGGACTTGGAGGCATGATCGGAAGCAATGACAGTCTTCAGCAACTCTGCTATCTTCTCGAATCTGCCCGGCTTGTTGCCAACTGCCACCACCCCCGTCCAAATATCCTTAATTCCCAATGAAACCCCTAAGGAGATAACCGACGGGGAGAAAGGGACGAACTTCTTGCCCTCTTTTGCGAACGCCCAACCCAAGATGGAAAGCAGTCGCATCAAGACCTTATCAAGAAGTGATGCCGCGGGCTGAAACTCGAAGATAGTGTAGTCATCATAAAAGTCAGTTCCTACGGCCAGGAACTTGCGAATCATGATACGCAGCAGCGCCAAAACAATCTTGTTGAAACTGAACACAGATGCTGAGGCCCCGAAGGGCAGTGACAAGGCTGTGTAAAAGTGCCAATCGTGATTGCAAGTTGGAAAACCCAACACGGCATGGTGCCTCGAAGAAGGATGGACACCGACCTGTTTATAGGCTTTCGAAAGGTCGAGCGTCTTCCCCAATAGGGGCGGCTTGGTAGCCATCTCCGGACACAATGTTCCTTCCAGCTTGGAGCCATCGGACATCGGGACAACTACCTTGGTTCCCCCTTGTAGCACACGCCCGACAAACCTCAGCAAGCCCACTGTAAAGTCGGTGTCCTGCAAGGCAAGACACGAAGCGGATCCAGAGGCCCGGCTCACCGCTGACATGGCTCTATCAGCGGCTTCCGCCCGGAGGGCGCCTGGGCCTCCGGCTCCAGCTCATCAATGGCTTTCGGCTTGGGTCTTTTAGAGAAGAGAGGGCAACGCGGCTCATCGCCCACAAGGTGAACTCCTTGTTCAAGCATCTGCACTACAGAAAGGTCAAGAAACTTTGTCTCCTCCAGCAGAGACTTAAACAATGTGATTGCCCTTCCCCTGGTCACGGCTTCCACTTCCGGGTCCATCTTAGCACGAAGGGATGCCTCAGCTGCTTGAATCTCCTTGAAGCGGGCATTTACGTCTTGCAAAGCTTGCAACCTCAGCTTTGAGATTGCCACCGGCCCTTCAGTCAGCATACGAAACAAGTTGGATCGGACTTGATCAGGCACCCCACTGACGTCGTCAAATGGAGACCACAGGGTCTCAGCAATGGCAACGTGCTCCTCCATTGAATGATAAACCCCCACGCTAGGATCATGGCCTGGCGATGGGTTGGTACTGGATGAACCTGCAACGCCTTTCCTCCTCTTCGGCTGTTTACCTTGACCTGCCTCCGCATTTTCCCCCGAGATAGAGGCAGGCAGTGGAGAAAGCACCTTGTAAGTGGAACCTTCAGGCACCTGAGACAAGAACACGCACGCTCGGAACTCAGGGATGAGCGGGGCAGCATGCTTGGTTTGAATCGAGGCGGCAGCACGAACTTGGGATCTCATGCTCATGGATGCCTTAACCGCAGGGGCCTGAAAACGGGGATGTTGCAATGCGGCTGATGTTGCAGCCTGGCACAGGAAATGGCACAAATCAGGGGGGTACGCGGCTTCATCCTTGGTTGGATAAACCCAGGACCCATCCATCAAATATGGTTGCCAGCCCAGGTGATCATGCGAAGAATCACATGGCAAATTCAAGCCTTGAAAAACCTTGGGCGACCCTTTGACGCGAGTGCTCTTCTGTCGCTTGGCCCCAAACACGCAAGAGTCAGAGACACAATCTTGCAATTGGAAAAACCAGTCCACGAACGCTTGAGGACCACGTCTTTTGACGAGAAGAGCCAGGGTCGGCCATAGCCAGCTTTGGTTAGGGTTTTCAATGGTTACAGGGCTCCGCTGACGAAGGCAAGAAAAAGAATTTCAATGCTCGACTCATAAACCGCGTTAGCAGCTTGCACCTGGGCCGCTTCGCCCGTTCGCAGACCAAGAAAACCCATCAAGTTGTCAGGACCCCTGAGAACCCTTGCTGCGCCAGGCAATGGACGTTCGCGCGCCCTTGAGCATGTCCCACACGGCAGCCCGAAGTGCCACCAATCTAAGAAGATAAGGGGCAAGCTTGGTTCGAAAGGGCATGACGACTGATCGATGGGAACATGCTCATAGGCTGTCCTGGACAGGATGGCAGTTCCTGCACAGAGCTCCACCAACTTTGGCGATCTAACCCTAGAGGGACAAAACGTAGGGGATGGTCGGGTGAGGCGCTGATACCTTCAGGCATTCTTGCCACTGAAGGGCCAGGCTGTTCAGGATTCTGGGGCTAGCCTCCTGAGCCACCGGCGCGGGCCTGGATCAGATTCAAAGCTCCAGAAAGCGAAAACAGAGCCAGCACTACTCGCCGGCCCCTTGAGGGCTTGGACCAGTGCGCATGATGCCGGGCACAAAATATCACGAGGCCTTTTGCAACCTCCAGTTCGACTTGCCCAGATGGGCCACGCACATAGAGCTCCCCTGCCGAGAAGCTATCTACTGGGATCAGTATGTTCGGCAATGCTGAATTGGCAGTATTCTTGCGCTTGGAAGTTTGCTCCCTTTCAAGCAAGACAAAACTGGTCCAAACGGCATTTTTTTTCTCCCGCGCGGGCGCTTCTCTTGCTTCCAGAGTCAGTCGCCAGGTCGCCAGAAGAGACATACATAAATAAACCAAAAAAGCACAAGACACTAATTACCAGAACAAAAGAACACGGGCGAGTGCAGCTACATCATTCCCATGACTCTTGTGGCGAGTCTGCTCAATTGTTCTCAACTCAACCAACTTATGCGGTTGTCTCAATACCTCTGCGCAGAAACAAGCCTGTTTCAGATGAGTCCGCATAGCAAATACCGAACAGTTACAGTAGCAAAAAGAGTAACGATATGGTCGCTTGAAGACGTCTCCTTATGTTATTCTGACAAGTCGACTTGCCTACCTTGTTGTGAAACTCACAAGAAGAAGAATGGGAAAAACGACACTTT